AGCCCCGCACCGAGCCGGTCCCAGCCCGCACCGAGCCGGTCCCAGCCCCGCCGAGCCGGTCCCAGCCCCGCACCGAGCCGGTCCCAGCCCCGCACCGAGCCGGTCCCAGCCCCGCACCGAGCCGGGGCTCGGCTCCGCGCGGCGCTGCCCTCCGCTTTCCTTCCGCCGCCCGCCGAGCCCTGCCTGCGGGGCGGCTTCACCGGCGCACAGCCTGCCCTGGCTGGTCATCCCCTCAGAGGATTAAACCACGTATTTATGTTTTCAAAGGGTTCAGAAGGGTTTCCTGGCCGCCCGTCCACCCGCCACGTGTTGTGCTGTCCCTGGATCTCCGTGCTCCAAAGCTGCTTAGTCCGACCCGAGTGGAACTGCACTAAAGCCGTCAGGAGATGGATGCTTTGCTTGGGGAAGGAAGCTGAGGTCTCTGCAGGGCAGAACCTCAATCCAAGGCACTTTGGGGCTGCCCTGCTCCTGCTGATCTGCGGGGCTTGGGCATTGATTCCGTGACTGGGGTGGTTCAGCACCTGCACCCAGCACAGCCCACTCTGCTGCTGCAGAAAGCTCAGCCTTGGGCCTGGAAGACATTTTCATGGCCTGTGAATTCCTTAAGCCCAAAGGCTGAGGATGTGTGAGCCCCTGGCGCGCTGCACGGGGCCGAGCAGGCCCTGGGCTGTGGCCAGGCGCTGCTCTGCTCACACCGGGGCTGTGTGGCTGGGAGCAGCCACAGGTGCTGAGTGAGCACAACTGGGAGACACAGCGGGCACTGACTGGTTAGACTGGCTCCTCCAACCTCTGCCCTTCCTTGGCCTGCCTGCTTTTGGTTAAACAGAGCCAACTCTTCGGTGAGGGACTCAGAAGCTCCCGGGATCCTGCCCTCTTCCTACCTGGCACAGCGGTGCCATCCCACAGTGACGTTGTTCTGGGCTCTGTGGTGCCACTGTCTGACCCTCGGCTGCTTCCTCATGCCGAACGCTCAGGTGAAGGCATTGCAGCAAAGACTGCAATTCACCCATGGGAGATGGCTGGTGAGCAGGGCTGGGGGCTGTTCCTTGGAAAGCTGCAGCCCATCTTCCTTTTCACTTCCCCTTCTCTCAGGCGACTACGTGTGCCCTGGGCAGCTATTTTTAGGCTGCTGCTCGCTGTCTGCATTCCCCCGGGGATGCTGAGCAGGTTCTGGGAACTCCAGCTGTCTCTTGGGCAGCATGAGAGATGCTGTGCTTCCTGAGCTGCCTCCTTCACTCCCCAGCACATGCCCTGGCTCTGCCACTCCCCTGCAGCTGCCCCAACGCTGGGCACGGGGCTGGGATGCCCATGCCAGGAGCACTGGCACTGCTGGGGGGCAGTGGGGGGGTCTCCTGTGCCAGGGTGATGCCGATGCTGTGCCAGGCAGCCGGGATTGCAGGGCAGAGCTGATTCATGGGGCTCTGTCATTGCTGTCAGCACAGCTGTCCTGAGCCCTGAGGATTTACTGCCCGCAGCCGGGAAACACGGCACAGGCAGGCTCGTGCCCCTGCTGCTGCAGGGGACATCGGGAGCTCTGGTGGGACCCAGGGCTGTCTCAGACTCCCCACTGCAACCACCTTGCCCAGTCACCCCATTCCTGCTCCTACCCCCTTTTCTGCCCCCATGCCCAGTTTCCCAGGCCCTGGCACAGTAAGCCCTAACCATGGGGGCACATGTCACCTGTGCCAACATGTCACCTGTGCCACAGCCTGTGGGGGCCACCTCAAGCCTGGGTGGGGCTGGCATGGAGGTGAGGAGCTGCTGGAGCCCCGGAGTGACAAGAGCCTCTCCTGGGGATGACACTGAGGGTTCAGTTGAGTCACTTGGTTTCCGGCACACCCTGCGGGTGGGTGCATCCTCCCCCCGGCCCCGCCCGGGCACTGGGCATGGGGGGGATCTCAGGGCTGGCAGTGCCAGTTGGCCCCTTGTTTCTCTGCCCTGTGGCACC